CATGTGAGCTTTTTTTTGAATTGACGGTTTCCTATCCAACGCACACTGCCCGGCCAGATGAACTGTGTGTGGAAACGCAATTCTAACGCCTGTTTTCAACGTTACCAGTTGCATGCGGACAACTGCAGCATGACCATGCAACTGTGTGCCCTTCTAATCAGTCGGAGCTATATGCACGGAGCCAGTATTAACCTGTTTCCATTCCAACTATCCACAATCAATGGCATTCCTAATTAAAATTATGAACAATGAAATTCTCTAAAAAATAATTCCCCATGGCTGATACCCATGCCCCTGGATTCTGAAGTAGTCATTCGCTGCCTACTAGGTTCTCTGTCTCCTCCCTTCACTGCTTATTTCACAGTCCAGAAACGCAGGAAGACAGACAGACAAGGGGAAAAAAAAAAGTGATGGAAAGCAGAGGGAAAAGCCAGCACTCAGCACGGGCGCAGGGCGCAGCTCTGTGGCCTGGCCCTGGCCACCCGGCCCCTGTCCTAGGTGATCTTTTCACCCTAAAAACTTACAGCACTGGCACATCCTGATGATCCATAAATATTTAATATTTCAGAAAAAAAAAATTCCCCGCTTCACCCCATCTAGCCACTTAAACTCCAGGAATTTCTTGCAGTGTTCTTAATATCCCACGCTGTTCCATACTTCACTACTTTTGCTCTTTTGTTCTCACTAATAAAAAATGTCCTGATCTGCCTTGTGAATAAATACCCCTGCATCCTTCAAGACCCAACTCAGACCTGTGTCCTGAGTGAAGCCTTTCCTGGTGCGCCCCGGCAGAGCCGGGCAGCCCTCCGCTGTGGACCACTGTGTCCTGCTCATACGTCTGCCTCCGAGTCTGTCTCCTACCCGGAGCACGTGACCACAGGGCCCTTGCACCACCTGAGCCCACTGAAGGGAAATGCTCAGGAACGTGCCCCATGGGAAGTGAACGAATGCTTCAGTCCTTATACTTCCCTCCCACCTGCATTTCCAGTGTCTCTCCCTCAGTCTCGGACAAATCAAAGAGCAAAGCCCTGTGGGAAACACATGAACAGGAAGAGGGAGGGAGAAAACAGGCCAGTAATAATAAAAGAAAACACGGGGCAGGCGAGAAAACGAGGGGAGCAGCTGCCCTCCTGCATTTCACTCCCGGGAAATAATAAAGAATCCCCTGATTCCACAATAGGTTTTTAAAGTCACCATGGAACGCTTTAAAATAAAAATAAAGCAAAAATTACTTAAGTCACTGAGATAAGACTTTTTCACTGGAAAAGACCTTAGAGACAGAGGTCAATGTTTTCAACTATGACACCAACAAAGGACAATGTGTATTCTATTGCTATTTTCTAACGAGTTGATCTATACTTACTGCCTTGGAATAAATCTATGAGCCGACTGTTTGAGGCAAAAGTGCAAGAAAACACTTATCACAAAAGAGGAGCACAGGACACGGTCTGACACAGAAGCTCTCGCTCCCTGTGAGGAGAGACAGGAGAGGGTTTCTTCCTCTTCTTCTCCATTATCCCAGCCTTGCCCTCAACGCTCTCCCGGGTTCACAAAACAGCTCACTGGAAAAACTCCTATAATCATATCTGAGAAAGAGTGTGATTTACTTTAATATAATTACTGTGGTATCTCTTAGATTTTCAAAATAAAGGTGATTTGTTTAAAAAAAATATAAAAGGACATCCATTCACTATTTAAATGGTATTTCAAGGACTTCAGCATCAGAAAAACACCCTAACAGTGTAAACGTGGTTATTCCTCACTGACAGGGAGAGACAATAGGCATCACATGAGGATTTTAGATTTTTCAAACTAAAGGCAAAGTATATCATTAAACAAAAAGCATTAAAGTATTATAGAGATAAAACATGCAATGTGTCCTGTATAAAAAAGTACTTTAATGTTAGTTTTGATTTTTAAAAAACTGGGAGATGCTACCCTTCATATTGTTACAAGTATAATGTGTGACACAATATAAAACAAATCTTTTCTGTCTCTTTTTTCTATGTCTCTTTAACCGAAACAATCAGCCAAACGAAAAGCTTATTTTCTTTGGATACATCTGTAGATATGATGGCTGTAATTAATTGTTCAGCTAAAAATGCAATTCCATGGTGCTTTTAATGATTTAGGTATACACAGCTTTAGTTCTCAAAGCAGACTAAAAATAGTGATTTTAATTTATTCCTGCTGCCTACAATTACCCACAACCATGTATTTTTAAATATTTCCAGCCTATAAAAATTACTAATTTTTGCCACTTGTGTTTATCTGCATTTAGACTTTGATTTGGATAAATTAAGCTCTCAAGTGTTCCTTGCTTTATGAAACTCTGCATGTTGTACACTTCAACACAAATAAATGACTTGTACCATTAGAGGTTTAAATAATGTAATGTACTTCATGCTCAGCCTGAAGCTGGATTCCAATGAAGTTGCTAATGCACGTAATGATTAAGTGTAACTCAAATACTAACTGTGTTGTTGAAAACATGACAGGCAATAATTTGGTCTATTATATTCTGCCATTTAATTGCCTAGTACAGACATTCTCTGACACGCTATGAAGCAATGATTTACAATTATTCAAGCTGCAAAGGTCAGAAAGTGACATTATAATCATCTACATAGAGATCCCTTCTAATGCACAAAAACTAGGTAATGCCACACGCACAAAAAAAAAAAAAAAAAAAGAGTTTCACTGCATTAGTAACTTTCTATTTAAGGTTTCTTAAGCCAACTGAGAATAAACAGTTCATAAGCACATTAATATACAATAGAAAATGTCTAGAATCTTTCCATGAACCAGAGATGACAGATTCTGTAAATGCTCTTATTCCCTCCTGACTAGGTAAGTACTACTCAACTGTTTATCTCCATATACAAGATTCAAGACTAGATACAGGGAACGCAGTCAGAAAATTACATAATCCCTAAATCATGGATACTGGCTTTTTGTGAATAATGGCATAAAAAGTTAGGCTTCATCTCCCAGGTTTCCTGAAATCACAGGCCACTTACTAATTTTCTAATAACTCTTTTTTGTAGTAACTAGTAAGGAAAAACAAAAACCCAAGATGATCAACTTTATCCCTCTCATTCTAATGGAAAGACAATAAAATCTTTACTCTTTTAGGGATTATTTCTGTCATACTAACATGTTCAATTTTTAACCACTCAAGCACAATGAATCAACACATAAAGAAGGGGGAAAAATAAAATTATTTAAAACAACTTTTTAATATGAGAAAAATGAAACAGAGAGAGACCAGAAAAAAGAAAGAGAAAGAGACTGAATACCAGAATGTTAAAGTAAAACACAGTGCAAGCAATTTTTTAAAATAATGTAAGTCTGAGAAAAGCAGAAAACAAAAGTGGCTAGAGGCTGGAAGGAAGCAAGTACAGTTACCACACGCTAGAGAAAACAACCTAGGGAGAAAAAACTAAGTACAAATGAAAATTAGTAACTAAAACAACAGATTTAACAAAAGCAAAGAAGTAACTAAAAGGAAGGAGACAGGGGTCTACCATTACTGCCACATGAACTGCCTCCACCACTAAAAGTTCTTCTACTCTCAGAGCTACCATCTGCACAGTGGGAGTAATAAACATGGGATGAGCAGTCTCACGAAACTGGAATCAACAAATGAAATGGATGGTAATGAAGTATACCCTAAACCACAGCACTCCATAAATACTATTTATAATTGAGAGTACGATATATACACGTGTGTGTGTGTACAAACATGGAGAAAAAGAATATCAAAATAAATTTAGACGAATGTAACAAAACATGGTTTCCACAATGATGTCCTTAAACCACTGAGATTTTTAAGCTCCTGACTACCGAAAAATAACAAAGGTAAAGATCATGGACTTAGTAAAAATGTGTCTACCTATTTTTAAACATATGTTTCCAACAAAACTATTAACTTCTCTGTAAGGTGCTTTCTATTATTTTTTTATTTCCTCCCCCACTAAGCCCTATGTCCAACCCGGGGCACACTTTCATTTTAACTATCCATTATTTATAAAATTCACCTAAATTCTATAAAATTCCTCTTGAGGTCATGCTCAGAAGTAAGAAAAACATTAGGAAACTGTAATTCAAAAACTGCTCCTCCTAAAAGTGAAAGTAGAGTGAAAGGTTTTTAAATGAGTTATCTATAACATGTTCTTAAAACAGGAAGTTCAGAGTAATACATCTTGAAACCTATACCCTGACATAAGCATGTAAACCATGGGTCAACAAAACTTAAATCCTGAGCTCTGAATCCTAGCCAGCATTAGAAATTAGACATCTCATACACTCAGCTTCTTCTGTCAAATAACTTAAACCCATGATAAGCTGTAGCTAAGATTTGTCGATGACGGGGAGAGAGATGTTAAAATTGAGCTTAAAAATTCAAAGATAAGTGTAGGTTCAAACAGTGGAAATTAAAAGTTTAGAAGGAAGTCTTTATTAAGGGAGTAGCTAATGCACAACCCTTAAATTAAGTCTTAGTAAAAAAAATATATATATATGATACATATTTGATGAGCATCTAAAAGCTTCTTAAATAAAGATATGAAAAAAATCACATAAATAAACTGATATATTAATTCTCAGCTCAATTCAACAAAACACACCATTTGTTGTTTTCATCAATTTCACCATAAAATATCAGGTTTTATTGAAGAGGTTACTAAGGAAAAATACTACAACAATGTGAGTAATACTTTCACTGTAAAAATGTGCCTGCCCCACTGTTTTCATATATTACAACTCTATCAGAACTGTTTGAAAACCATTTCTTTCTTACAACTCAAACAGTGAAAGGATTATGGATAAAATTTTAAGACAGACACTAAAATGCTAACTACTGAAGAAAAGAAAACATAGGGCAGGACCTTCTGTTTGTGACAAAATTAGAGATTTAATGTTCCTGAAAGATCACTTCACCTTTAAAAGCATGATTTTTTAAAAGGTAAAATTGATAGCAATTAAAGCTAATGAAGAAATGCAGCATGAGCTGCTTATGTTCAGGAACGAATGGGTCCACCGAGCATTTCTAAGATTATTCAGCCATCAATGATAATGAATCGACATTGTCAGTGATGTGAACATGCCAGTGCTCCCTACTGCCACTGACCTGATAGCCAGTTCTCATTTTATTCATGTTTTTTACTTTAATTTTTAACCTACATACTGCTCTATCCCTTTGAAACACATGAAATACAGAACAACCTATGGCACTTTTTCTTTAGCACTGAAGGGTATTTCACTCACTACTGTTCTGTGTCAACTACACAGACTCAATAGGCATTCTTCAGTTTACTGAAATTCTTCAGAACTTTTAGCTTCACTGTAAAAATATCTACCCTGTACAAATTATTGTTATGTGACTTTAAGTCAAATTTTATGTAAAAAAATTAAGAAATATTATTTCTTGGTCAAATAAAATTCAACAACTACTGTAATTCTAAGAGATACAGTTTGGGAATCTAGATTGCTTTTTCCACACGCACACACACACACATGTAGACCTCTATGACAGCAGCATAAAACTCAACATACCTACAAGCACTTACAACTCTACTTGGGAGTCTACTTGGGAATCACTGTATAAACCACAGTGCAACACGCCAGTCGTGCGTTGTGAGCAGTAAGCTAAGCAAGCGTGCAGTGCTCAAAACCACACACCCAGAGCTACTCAGTCAGGTTTGGTCCTGACACTACATGTGTCAGAAGCTGCTCTCTAGAAGTCTCTCCTTCTCTTCCCGGGTCTTGCTAACACTAATAAAAAAGGAATGGAATCAGGTTTCTAATAACACAGTATGCAAAAACTATTTACTTATTCCCAGAAATGAGGAAGAAACTTTTTTTTTTTTTTTTTTTTTGCCAACTTATAGCAAATCTTCACCACAGTCTGGGCCTTCCTCCTTGCTATAATTCACATGGTAAAAACAGAAATGAAATATCTTTTAAAATTCCAAGACCTGGAGCAATTAAAATGCACCATTTGGCACTCGACCCTTGCAGCTACAATCAGTAGCAACAAAACTCATTCTCCCACTGATCTTCAGGGGGCTTTAGGGCAAAGGTTCATCTTCATTTACTTTAGCTCCAAGTCACTGAACCATCAATTCTGCCAATGAATAAATCACAGACCATGGTTAATAAAACTGCTTGTAAAGTTATTTGTAAAACTATCTTAAGGGTCAAAAAATGCAACTGCATCCTGGGATGAAATGTACCATCCATTAAAAAACAGAAGTTGTTTGTGACTTAAAAGGTATTTATACAGTAGTGCTAGCCAGAAGAATCTTCCACTGAAAAAAGAAACCTCATATAACATGTGCACATTGCATAATTTAATTGAATCTGAAGTGTTTTGTGAACCAACCATAAGAACTGCAGGTTTCTCAGGTTTCACATAAAGTGTTTTTATATGATGCACTTATTAATTCATTTCTCTAGCATAATAACATTAAAATATACTTATAATCTGAAGTAACGTATTAAAAATCCAGCTCTGAATGTCCTATGATATACCATAGATGTCATGGCATTTTAAAGCCTTTTAAACATTTCTGCTAAATTAATTAGTTTTACATTAAAGCGTCTCAGTGCTTCCTATTAAATGTAAGACATTTGAGTGACAATTAAACATTGTGAATGATTCTTTAGAGGAAAGAGCCATTAACTAAAACAGGATAACAAGTTTTGAAATAAAGTTACACAAAAACATACTTTATACACACTGGCTTTTTAAGCCTCAAAAATCAGTTCTCTGAAATGAAATCTTTTTCTGCTTTTTTCCTTATAGAATATGTCCAATGGATCCAAAGAACCATTAATGCGATTAAAATTAGAGCAGTATAGCAAAAGAAAAAAAGGGAAAAAACAGACATATACACTCCTAAAGCTATATTATGTATTTTTTTATGTCTTTAAATGGAATTTACAGTTCTCTCTGGCAATGTGAATGAACATCCTATAATTTAGTCAATTTACAGATTACAGGTTCAAATTGACCTTGTAGCCCATAAAATTGCTCATCTTCAGCACAGGATTAGAAGTGGGAGAAGAATGTCATAACTATGTTTAAGGAATTTACCATAACAATGGAAAGGAGGATACGCATGCATAATTCTAGCCACTCTTACTCATATCAGTTTTGAATCCTGAAACAATGGATATCCCGCACGTGCTTCCTGGTTCACCACGGTAGAGATGGTTTCAATTTACTCACCCACAGACATGACACTTGTATTCCCTCATCCCAAGGTGCCTTTTGACATGGTTTCTGGCATCACCAAGCTGAGCTGTTGCAAAATGGCATATCTTGCACTTGAATGGTTTTGATCCTAAGTAAATTTAACATAAAATATGATTTGAATTTGAATAATACATTACTGATATTTTTAAAACAGGCCTAGATCTTAAATCTTACTTATAGTCTAATTACAATTTTCTGTCCGCAAAATGGAACACTTGCATACTCTTCTAACTTGAACACACATGCATTTCATAATTATTCCACCAATAAGACTTTAAAATGTTTCAATGAGTATTTCTAACTTTCAACAACATTTCTAAAATTTAAAGTCAAAAGTGATGCACTTGAGCAGTACTAAGTATTAACAGATAAGATGAGCTAAATAATTTCAAATATTTTTCTTACAATTCACAAAAATAGCTTTTAAAGTCACTCAACATTTTAAATGGAACATTTTTAAAACATAGATGCTTATAGAGTATCTGATACTTTTTAAAATATATTTATTATCAAATAAATTTCTCAGTGGCCACATCCTGGTTCCCTCATATTTCTGCAACTTTGAATTTATTCACACTAATAATGATACTTCAGATTTTTTTCCTGACATTTATCCCAAATTATTCCCTATATTACTTTTAATAGCACACAGTATAAGAATATATAGTGGATAAGTTATTTGCTTTTATGATCATTTTACAGTCAAAAATTTGTGATGATTCAACAAATCAGAAGAACTGACATTTTGGCTATTATTGACTTCAAGAATAAGTATTTCAACATGAAAGGCACAGTATCAACATTCTTCTTTTATTTCATAAATAAATAAGATTAACCCATACTCAAACGTGAGGAGATAAAATTATTTCAGAGTCCACAAACTTATTGTCAGTAATAGGTAGATTCTACCTGGCAAATGGGTACTAAAGATCATCAGTACCCATGTTAACAAGAAGCAACTCTCTCAAAGTGTAACATGAATACATCATTTTCTATTTCTAACCTTTAAATCCTCAAATAAATAAATCAAAATCATCTTTTAAAAATCAGTTTAAAATTGTTACAATGTTTCCAAATTTTTCATAGCATATATAGTACCTACTTGGTGAAGTACCTCTTATAATATAGTCAGACAGAATGTGAAATATGTGGACTTTAATAAATACACAAAAAGAGCTCAAATAAAAAAATGCAATAAATCATTTTTGATCAATGGAACTTGGTGCAATGCCCTTGGGAAAAGAAATCCTCCCAGAATACTCTGTTGAAACTGAAGCACTCAGTAAAAAATTTTAGAGTCTTAAATTTCAATTTAATTCCCAAAAGCTGACAAAAAAAAGTGAAGCATTTAATTTTAATCTTCTAACAGAAATAAAAAAGTCAACAGTACTAAGCACAGGCAGACAAGGTTGAATATTTCACAGTTCAATGACAATGAAGCCAGATCTCTTAATACTTCCATTTCTACTCTGAGAAGTAGATGTAAAATATATTTAGCACCTGAATGGTTATATCTAGTCAGCTTTATATGTTTAAATGTCAAAAGCAGGTTGAGACTGCAGCTTACAGCAATCCCATTCTATCAGTCACATTAGAAACTACAGTTTATTTAAATGATTCTGAAGAAACGAAGCCTATCACTACTTGGAAACATTTCCTCTAGACAGGGAATTCTATAAAGGGGCTTGTGAAAGAACAGGGTGAGAAGAATCAATTACCTGCACTTTAAATTACACTGCATTAAAGGTAAGGTAATTAGGAAATTATTCATCAACAAGAACACCAGGGCTCTAAACAAAAAGATAAAGCTCTCTCAACACGTGTGTTACAATTTTGGTGAAAGGATTCAAAGTATCTTGTGATTCAGGCCCTCTAGTTCCGCCCCAGGAGTGCGACATAGACCTCCATAGACCTCAGGTGTCTGCAATGTAAGGCACGTGGCTCCCTGGTGGAGGCTGCCTTTCCTTCGGATTTCAGCCATCACTGCTGGTGCGCTGACAACACCTACATAAGTCACCTTGCTGACTGTTTTCATGCAGAAATCACGGAGGCCCTAACTGCTTTTTGTATCTAACGCACAAAGGAGATGTATTAACATCTCCTTTCTGTGCCATGAAAATTCTAATACTGGAGACTAGAGGTCACATTTTCCTGTACAAGAAAACAAGAAACGTTTCCACTTTTTTCCTAACTGATGGTGTTTCCATCTTTAAACTTGCCAGGCCTATCCCAACATGAATCCAGGCATAGTATTATCAGGCAAAATTTGTAAAACCTCATATTTTAAAATTTGTCTTAGGGGTTCCCTGGAGAAGACACTAAAAAAATCGGCCTGCAATGCAAGAGACCCAGGTTCAACCCCTGGATCAGGAAGATCCCCTGGAGGAGGAAATGGCAGCCCACTCCAGTATTCATGCCTGGAGAATCCCAGGGACAGAGGAGCCTGGTAGACTGCAGTCCATGGGGTCCCAAAGAGTCAGACACAACTGAGTGACTAACACTTTCACTTTCACACTTTAGGCATACTGACATTATTAGATACGTATTTATTAGAAATAAATAAATTATTATTTATTATTAAACAGTCCCATTCCTCGATTTTTGTTTTTTTTTTCTTTTTTAAATTTTGAAAATAAATAAATAAATAAATAATAAATAAAATTTGGTCTGTGAGGTTTTTCTAAAAGGGATAAATGAAGAGGCTCTCTAGCCTTCTGGCACCTTCTTACAATTCTATCTAAAGAAGTCCGCCCCCCCCCCCCCCAAAAAAAGAAAAAAACAGAAGAGTTCCCAAGACGTTAAAAACTAAGCCTCTCCTCAGGCCTGCACTGGCCTTCCTCAATGTCAGTCACGGCCAACCCCTATGCACACGCGGACGTGACACTTGAAAAATCACAGCAAGACTAGGTCTTAGAGTCAAGTAAGACAGATTCAACCCCCCACCTAAAGCTTCTCCACTCCACAACCTTCCTGACACTGAGCACTTCACCAGTCCTCCTGCTTCTTCCTCCATTCAACAAAGAGCAGTGAGCGCCGCGGCACGCGGCCGCCCTGCGCTGGACGTGGGCACGCGGAGGCCCCCTAAGCACCTCTGCCCACGCTGACCCGGCTGCCACAGCGTCGTACCAGCCCTGACATGGGAACCTTCCGGCGAAGCCACCCGCTCCCCGTCTTCCCACAGGAAGACGGTGCCAATGGCACCCGAGAGCGGCTAGGAACAGAAAGCAAGGGCTTCAGCCAGCCTTCGGCCTGATGAGCTCCGATGCGCGGAACTGAAGCTTCCGCTGCACCAGCAAGCGCTGGGGAGTCTTTTCCCCACAGTCCTTGATGACCAAAACTCATTTATTTCTTCTAGTGCTGCTTTTATCATGTTAAGGATGGGAAGAAAAGGTTACATAAAATATATAGTAAATCACAAAATATGAAAACAGCGATTGGAAGAATAAGCACTCTTCCAGTCAGTCATTAATAACCATCCCTCAGTGACTATCTCATGGATATAAGCAAAGAATCAGAGAGGCACTTCATTCTAAAATGCCCCCGGGGGCGGGGAGGGGAGTTGGATTAAAACCTGGAGAGCAACCTCCCCCAAAAAAATGACTTGCAAAATTGAAATGTGGGCTGACATTGGGTACTCAGAAACACTTTTTTTGGTGCCTCAGAACACAATAAAAATGTTCCTGCTGATAAGCCCAACACCAGTTGTTTAAAAGTATGCTAACTTTTACTAAATGTTACAATCAATGATGTAACTTATATAAGTAGGGTTACTTTGTCACATATTGATAGTTACCTCACTTTCACATCCACATTAACTTGATTTTAAATGCAATTAATACATATAGTCAAGGAAGACTAATGGACTACATTCTGCACTTAACCTGGTGGACATTTTCAAATGGCACAAGTGACCAGTGCAAACCTATTTTGCATTGTAAACGACTAAATAAATCTTAATGGATTAAGAATGATCAGCTATCAACACACAAGGGAAATTAAGTGCTGAAATGCCTACATTGATTATTTTAAATTATTAGCCTTACTCTGTTCTTGAATTTGTATGCTTTTAGTGAGCTTTAACACATTTACAAGACTTATTGACTATAATTACAAGAGAATTCAAGTAATGGACACATCAATTATGAGCAACATGTCTTGACCAGACAGTTGCATAAAGAATTCTAAAAAGAGCTCCATTAGCATCTTCCTCTTACTTTTATTCAGTTTTATCTGCCTTAAGAGGGCATGCTAAGAAAGTACCTATTTTCTGTACGTGTGAACGAGCCTAGTTTCTAAAAACCATATCATTTCAGGAACCGAGCAATAACACAATACCAACAGAGATGATAATGATACCAACAAATAACTGTATTTGAAATTATTCCCCAGCAGTGGTTCTACTGCCTGAGAAGAGCTGAGATCAAGAGAACAATGTGTCTATTTACCTAGATCAATCTTCTGCTGGTGGCCCTGTTACTTCTGTCAATGAAAAACTTTTATCTATCTTTAATCACCCTCAACTATTAACAATGTTTCATACTCTTCTGTCTGCCTCCTTATAACCATGCACTAAGTTTCAAAAACTGCATGAATCTAAAGTATAGCTTTAATAATAAGCCATTATTTAAAAGTACAGTAAAATAAACCTTACAGTTTTAATGAAAATATGTTCATTGAAATGTGAATTTATTATTCAAATCCACTCATAAATTCAACCATGGAGACAGAACTTGTCTAAGCAGAGCACAATGATTTAGAAAAGCTGTCTATTTAAAATAAAGAATGTATGGCAGGTTTATAGAAACAGTGCAGTGAATTTTTACATAAATTTAGAATAGTGGCTTATGTATTTTCCACAAAAAAAAAGTTTCAAAAAGAAAATTTCTACCTAAAAATTGAACATTAAAATGCAACACTCCAGACAGCACAAAAACTAAATCAAGTGCTACCTCCATGAAAACCAAATCCCCAGGACATATTAACTTTGAAAAGTGTTGACTAATTTTGATCTTTGAGAGCAGAATCCTGTTTCCTGTGAGTTACACTTTGGGATATAAACTATCTGGCAATGGATACACCTAAATCCCTAAAACTGTAAGGAAATAGTCATACTTCATTTTTCAAAAGCCATATAATAGGTCCTCTGAAACCCAAAGTGCCACTGAACAGACACCCTGGAGAACCAAACACTTAAAGGACTTAGAGACAACTGAAAAGCTGTGAGAGGCAGGAATGTAACAAAGGCATCAGAAGGACTAGGCTTTCTGGTCAAAGAAATCTGCCAAACAGCCTGCCTTTGGAATCACTAAGTCTCAGTTAATAACCTGGAGATACGCTGAGTGTCAACCAAAAGCCCGGCAAGGGCTGGGGGCAGCAGGAGCTGAGCTGGGTGGGGGCCGCCAGGCAGGGGCTATAAGGACTCCACGTTCCGGGGGAACCCAGGTCCCCACTCGAGCACGCCCCCGGCCCTGGCGGGTAAAGAGGTCGCGTGGACCTACCTGTGTGCGTGCGAATGTGCGCCAGGAACGCCATCGAATTGCTACTGCGACACATCTTCCCACAGTACTTGCACACGTTGCCCTGGTTCTCCTCCCTCTCGCGGTTGATCTGCTCAGTGTCCTCCACGATGTACTTGTTCACCTCTCGGAGCAGCTCCTCGTGCTGCCCTTTGATGTGCAGGAACAAATTCTGCTCAGAGTCAAAGGGCTCCGTGCACTTGACGCACTTGAAGGTGGCGCCACCCTCGGGCAGCTCCTCCACGCTGGCCTGCTCGTTCCGCATGTGGCCGGCGCTGGCCAGGTGCTGGTGGAGGTTGCTCTCCGTGTAGAAGGACTTGCCGCAGAGCAGACAGTGGAAGTGTTTCTCCTTCGTCGGGTGCTTCATGGCTATGTGCACGTTCAGGCCACTCAGACCGTCTGCCAAGAAGCCACAGTCATCACAGCGAATCCGGGTGGACTCCGCAAAGGAACTACCATCCGCTTTTTTCTTCTTCACACCTTGGGCACAGTCCTTCAAGGGGAGCTCACTCATCCTCACTCCCGCTGCCACAAGTCCCTCTTGAGACTGGTCGAAGAGTTCCCCATCTTCAGGGTTCTTGATCCTTATTATGGAAGAATCAAACCGGCCGAAACTGTACACAGCCTGCCCTTTATCATCAATACTGATTATAGTTTCATAAACATCATTGTTGTCAGTGGTGCTGTCAGAAGCTGGACCATCCTCTTCCAAAATCATTTTGGTTTCATGTTGGGAATTCATGAGAATCTCCTTACTTTCCAGAACAGGATCTTCCGGAACATCTTTCAAGTCCCCTGAACTCTGCACGCTTCCAGCTCTGTCCTGATCACTGCTCCCCAGGTTGAGGGGTTCTCCGGGAGCTCTCAGCATGGCACTCTTGGCTGGATGCTCTCCATCTACAGCTCTGGGACACCCGTGTTTGCCAAGGACTTTATCAGCTTTGTCTTCTGCCTTTCCTCCATCACTCTCACTGTGTGTGTTTGGACTATTGATGTCATTCAACATACTGTGCTTTTTCTTTGCTGTCTCATGATTCAAAGCTGAGCTTCCTGAGTTTTCATCCTGAAATTTGCTTGGGGAGCCACAATTAGAAGAAATACTGAGGGGTACCATCTCCTCCGGTTTTATAACTTTGTCCTTGGCAAGGGGCTGCTGGAAAGTTTCACAAAAGGGGTGATCTTCACTGAGGTTAGACTCCTCCTCAGTCTCAGCTTCTACAGACTCAGAAGCACAGAACACCTTGGACATATCTAAACTGGTGTTCTCATCCAAAATAGAGCAATCGGCAGCATTTCTAGATTTGAGAGTTTCAGAGGGTTGGTCTGAAATAATCTGAAATTCCTCAGAGTTCTGTTTCTGCTGCCCGTGGGGAATAATGATGGTTTTGGACATTTCTGAAGAACTGGCGTCTACATTAGTAGAGTTCAGGTAAGACTGCCTTTTCATCTTGTGTTTTTCTGTTGCCGCATGCCTGGTCATCTCCCGTCGAGTCACAGCATAGTAATCACATGCCATGCAATAAAAGGCAAACTCTCTTGTATGTTTCCGTTTTACATGCAGCTCCAGAGAGGTGGAAGAGTACGCTTTAAACTCACAGTGCGTACATCTGTTTTCACCTGTACTCACATCATCTCTCTGAAGGCATGTGTCACCCTGAAGGTCCTCTGGATCCACAGAGGTTTGCTCCTTTTTCTCAATAAGGTGACTGCCAGTCTCCCCATCTTCAGGGTGAAACACGTTCTCAACTTCCACTTCCACTGGATTCCCTTGCTCAAGTGATGGCTGTTCTGAAATGGAGGTGTCTGCTTCCAGTGGAGGGTTGGCAGGTTCATCTGAAACTGCCACACTGGTGTTCTTCCTACCGGCATCAAGGTTACCACCTTCAGGGCCAACAATGATATCTGAGCTTTGTTTTCCACTTGCTTCAATTTCTACACGTCCTTTATGCTTCTTGGTGGCACAATGCCGTTCCATGTCTCCCTTGGTTACGGTGTAATACTTACAGACTTTGCATAAATAACTGTACTGGTGACTGTGTTTTCGCCGAATGTGCACAGTCAAGTTTGTGATACTCGAGGCCAGGAGACCACAATGTGAACAGGTCCGAGAGATGTTGCCTTTAGGTCGCCCCCTCTTTGGAGTGGGGGGTGGAGCTAGTTCACCCTCTTTGGTAATGACACCGGACAATGACAGTTCCTGGGGAGGCAGGATGCTCTGGTCGAGGCAGGCCTGCTCCCGGAACTGCACACCTCCACTGTGGCCTTCTGTCCGCCCATTCCCAGGGACGCCAAGCTCTTCTTTCTTGTCATTTGCACCTATGCAGACCCTTTCAATACACTCCTCAAAGCTTAGGCCAATGTTATTTTTCTTAGCATTTTCAAGATGCTTGCTTCTCTTGATGTGTTTCTCCATTCCTTCTTTGCTCAGGGAATAAAGATTACACGCTTTACAAAGAAAGTGATAGTCTTGACCATGGCGGAGCTTTATGTGTCTCGTGAGAACAGTGGAAGATCTTGTTTTGTAAAAACACTTCTTGCACTGAAACTGAGGCTTACTCGAATGCCTCGCTTCATTTCCGTGGCTTACCCTGGACTTAGCTGGCTCTTCCTGAGCTGCTTTTCCGGCCTCACCCACAGAAACGTTTGCATTTTCTGATTCTAAAGTACTTAAGGGGAACGTCTGTAATGCCAAATCACCATTAAATGACTGAGAAGTCTTCGGCTGACCCAACAAGTTAATGTGCTTCTCAGTTGCTCTGTGTTCCTCCACGTCTTTCTCGGAAGAGAAAAACAGATGACAAGGCGGGCAGAGGAAACCCATACTGTGCTTCTCCTTCATGTGGTCACTCAGGTCCATCTCGTTCAGGGAAGTAAATGCACAACACTGGCAACGCAGGCCAGAGGCGGTCTGCTGATGCGGGTGGCTGTGCACGTGCTCCTCCACGTCCCTCCTGGACGCGCTGGAGAAGCCACACGTCTGGCAGTGAAACCGCAACTCGCCCGCGTGGCACCTTGTCACGTGGATCTCCAGTTCCGCTCTGCTTGTGGCTGTGTGACCACAGGCCGAACAAGCACATGCCACCTGGTGGTCGGGAGCTGGCCTCCCTGCTGGAGAGTCGAAGGAGCCAGGGAGATGGGCGTTTGCCCTGTCCTGCTTCAGGGCCTGGGTCTCCAGGGCCTGGGTCTCCAGGAGCGTCAGGCACGGGGCCTGGGTGACAGCGCGCGGGTCCCCGTGCTGATGCGCCAACTCCGCGTCACTCGTTTTCACCTGTGCTCTCAAGTGCTTCGAATACAGCCTCTGCGCTTCGTTAGTGCCCCTTTTACTAACTCCTAGGAGCGTGCACCTCTTCTTTGCCTGGCCCTTCAAGGAGAAGGCGCCGGCGCGCCGTCGGAAGCCGCTGCCCAGCACGAGGAAGCCGCGATCGGCCCTGGGTCTTGAGGCTATGCTGAGGCCGGTGGCTGCCTGGGCCGTGTTTCTGCTGGACTCCAGCCTATCTAGGAGACCCTCGGAGGTGACGACCACGCCCAGCTTTTTGCTCTGGTTCTCGGGATTCCCAGCTGCATCATGGGAGGTTACGTTTTCTTCAACCACCTCCACTTTCTCTGGAGAGGTGTTCCTGGACGGACTCATTTCAACCAGCAGTTCGCTGCCGCGCCCACTCTGTTTAGAAAAGCTTCCTCTGAAATCTCTAAATGCGCCCGCTCCAATGCTCCGCAAGGATTTTGAGTCGCCGTTCCTGGCTACCGGCCTAGACGCTCTCGGCTTTGTGCGGCCGGCCTTCGCTCCCACGGGACTCGGCTTCTTGGGCAAAGGCTCTTTGGTTAAGATCTGTACGAACCCTCCGCGGGCAGCGAGGTTCTGCCGCCTGAGATGTGTTTTGCCGAGACAGTGTGCGTTCAGCAGGTTCTCCTCGGCGCACTGAAAGCCGCAGAGCTCGCAGGAGAAGGCCCTCGGCGGGCCGCGCGCCTGCCCGGCGTGCCCGGGGAAGGCCAGGCCGCCGTCAGCCGCAGGGCCGCAGGCCTGGTCCTCCGGCAGTGGCGAGGGACACGCAGCATGCTTCTCCACGTGCGGGCAGGAGGCAGGCGAGGGGGCACGTGTGCCGCCCTGCAGCGCCACGCCCGGGCCCCCGAGGGGGCTGCTCCCTTGCATCTCTTTGGAGGGCGAGGGAGGCTCCCCTCCCGGATCGAGGAACGCTGTCGTCTCCTGAGCACGCTCCTTCCCAGCAGCCGTTTCCCCTGGGCTCCCGTGGCCGGGAAGGCCCGGGCTGCCGTCATGGCCACTCAGGAGGGGCCCTGCCCCAGTCCCCGGCGATGCGACACCCGCTTCCCGGCCCGCGCCTCTGGGGCTCCCTAACCCAGGGGCGCCCGGCTCTCCGGGCCGCAGGGCCTCAGCCTCTGCTAGTTTCATTCGCTTGGAAGCGCGTTTATTTCCGCCGTCCTCCTCGACAATTTGGTCCAAGTCCGAGGACTCTACAAAACCCCTTTTGTTTGTGGAATTCTCAGCAGTGTCCGCTGTCTCATCAGATACGGGCCCACAGTCCGCGCCATGGGATGCACTGTGGCTCGGGTGTTCTGCCTCCTCGTTTACACGGTCACCCTCATCGCTCCCCGGCTTCTTCCGGGGATCCATCATTAATAAAGTGCCGGCGAGCTTCTGTGTCAGCGGCGGTCACTGGGCTCTCATAGCCTGTGAAGAACATAAACGCAGTGTTACACCTTTGAACGTACAGAAAAGACAGACGTCAGCCCGAAACTCAACATAAAGTGACACGCCGGATGAAAAATATCCCAAAATCAGCCTCGACATCTCCTTTACATTGAGATGGACTTGATCACATGCCAAGTCCTTCATGAAACGAATGAAATCAGACTGGGCGACTGCATGTCACCACACAGCCAACTCAGAGAGCATTACTGCAGTAACTTTGATAGAAAAAGTAACTTTCAACCGGCTTACAAAAACACTCCCATGTTTTAGTTCTCTTTACTGGTCCATTTCAATTTACTACTTAAAAAAGAAAAAAAAAAAGAGAAGATCTTTTCAAATTACATTTCAGTGAACTCCCGTTCTATAAAATAGATTAAACAAAATCTGCTATGAGATGAGTCAGGAAGCCAGCCTTCCCCTCTTTGGCTTCCCAACAGAAGCCCAAGTCCCAGTGTAAAAAGAAAGGTAACAACTGCTTCAACCCGTCCCCCAGAGCAGAGTCCCACTGTCACTTCAGTCATGTCAAACTCTGTGCGATCCCACAGACAGCAGCCCACCAGGCTCCCCCGTCCCTGGGATTCTCCAGGCAAGAACACTGGAGTGGGTTGCCATTTCCTTTTCCAATGCATGAAAGTGAAAAGTGAAAGTGAAGTCGCTCAGTAGTGTCTGACTCTTAGGGAATCTATGGACTGCTGCCTACCAGGCTTCTCTGTCCATGGGATTTTCCAGGCAAGAGTGCTGGAGTGGGTTGCCATTGCCTTCTCCGATGGTCCTTCTAAAAATGAAAATGAATATTCACCACCCGGCAAGCTCAAGCTCTGCCACCAGTGAAAGCCACTCCCATCCCAGTTGTCAATCACCAATTTCTCCATCTAACAGCCATTTTGTGTTGTCTGAAGGTTAATGGCAAAGGGAAATGTCAGTGATAGAGTAGAATTAATGAAGTAAATTTTAGGGGGAGAAAAAAAAATTTTTATTGAATAAAATGCTTTAAAATCAATAACATTGATTTCATTTTTCATTGTGCTATTTAATTCTATTAAAACATATCATTTTCCATTTACTTTATACCATGATTGGAATTCTCAGCCAAATGCCATTTGATTTGATGCTAATAAAATGCCATCAAGTATTACGGCCTCGAAGCTAAGGATAACTATTTTTAACTATTTGTCCATTTATTTTTTTGTAACAATGACAAACCAAATGAAGGCTGTTGCTCTGACTCTGCTAAAAGTAAGGACCATAAAATATATATAATGACACCAAAACCATGAGAAACAATATAAAAAATTAATAAATTAGCCTTTATCAAAGTTAAACAATTTCAAATGACATTATCTTCAAAAACCACCAAAAAGAAAATGAAGAGAGAAGCTACAGAGTAGGGAAAACGTTCTGCAAATCAATAAATATAAATATGTAAATCCTCTGCCAGATACATTTTATGAGTATTTTCTCCCGTTCCATTTCATAAATGTTATTTTTTTTATAAGCAGAAGCTTTAAATTTTGATAAAATAATTTTTTTTCTCCTTCTGTCTATTTATGTGTCTAGCTTTCTTTCTCTCTCCTCAGCTAGAAGGTAAAGGCCTGCTTTATCTGCTCACATGTCCCAAGAGTCAAGAACAATGCCAAGTACATAGAAGGTTTTAGAATGAACAAATAGCTCATTATGAAATAAGAAGTGTCTCCTAAGTGTTTATTGATGAAATGAAAATTGTCTGAGATGTCTTTCACAATAGTCTGGGAAAGGGGCCTAGCGAAGGCTATGTACCGACATGCTAAAAGCTGAGTGACACTGACACCCTATCCATTTTCTATGTGTTTGCACATGTATATGCTTGGAAGTGTCTACAACAAGAGTTATTTTTAAAAACCTTTTAACATGTAGCCTAAAATGACATGAATTCCTTTCAGTGAGTCCTTTCCTTCCTCCTCTTCCAAGACCACTGTGGCCCACAGCTATACCACCTTCACGACAGACACTCACAGGCATACGTGCACAGAACGCACACGCACCAAACACATGTACATCTATTCAGAGTCAATGTTCCATAGAGGGCGCCTGACTCATACATTTTTGGAGATGAAAGAATATTAATATGCAGAAGCAAAATAATGAGGCTCTGTTATCTTCTATATAATGGCTCCAAAAATTCTAGAACAAAAAGAGAAAATGTTTCATTATTTGCTATTTCCCAAATGGCTTTGAAAATTAGTGAAAGAATTCAGCATCTCATTATACAAGAAACAATAACAAACATTCAACAAATAGACACTGAGTTGCCTAGACTGTGAAAGGAACTCTAATGATACAAAACACATCCTTTCCCCTCAGCAGGCTCATATTCTACTAGGAGCCATGTGACACATGTGGAAAAGAACTCTGATACAAGCCCACATGGGATCACGTGTGTGATATAAACTAAGAACTACAGCAGTAACAAACAGCAAGCAGTCCTACTGCCAAGTAGACTATTTGGCTAAAAGACCAGAAACATCATTAGAGCTAAACCCCAAAGAAACAAAACTTTTTTGTTTTTCTTTTCTGGAGGGGGCAGGTAGGAGCAGTTAAAACATTGTAAGGAGAAAAAAGGGATTAGCAAAGCCACAGAACACACCAGATGAGCATGCAAGACAGGCAGCAGTAGAGACAGCTGCCGCTCTGGCTTTCCACTGCGGGGCAACTGAAAACCCAGGCAGAAGACCATCCACCACATCACAGGAGGCTCTGAATTAGCAGCTGGAATTCAATCAGCAGTGTCAGCGGGGAGTCACCAAAATGCAGCACTGCTGCAGGAAGATTCAGTTTTCAGTAAACAGGACATATCATAGGGAGAGAAAGTCTAGAAGCAGAGTGAGAGCATTCTAATTGTTTTGAGTTATAGGGCCTGAACTGGAATGACATCAGTACTCATGAGTCCAAAGTAAGTATCTTAGAGTGATCGACAGAGGACTCGATGGAAATGAGGAAGCTTACACACATATAAATTTAAAAAGAAACGCTTTCATCAGAAAGATTATTAGTTTATTATAGCAGAACTCAAAACCCACCCCTGGGAAAGTTCAAGGACTCGTTTCTGGAGATAGGCTGAATTCATTTGCTCAACACTTACTGAAGTCGACCATGTGTCAGAAAGTACTTCAACCCTCTGTGAACAAAGCAAAACAACAGATCAGGCAGGTCATCACTCAAGGCAGATCCCTGTTTTCTCTCGAAGTCCTAGTCCCTGTGCTCACTGGAGAAGACCGTGAGCCTCCCGTTTCCTCCCACAGTAAGATTCCAAAATTCAGCAGACTTAGTAGGAATTTAGACTAAACTAATGAGATGTATTATTAAGCCAAATCTTCTCAAAGCAGATGGTTCCTATACAAATTGATCAATTACTATTCAACACACCACACATCCTCACTCTGCCAGATTTTCAAATATGCAATTCCATTTATAGTTTCTACTCTCACTCAAATTCTCAGACAGTGGTTGTCCCTTAACTAAAAAAAAAATAATATTCAATTTTACCTATATACATACATACATATATACATATGTATATAGTGAACTTCAATAGAATGATCCTTGGAAGAAAAGTTATGATCAACCTAGATAGCATATTAAGACGCAGAGACATTACTTTGCCAACAAAGGTCCATCTAGTCAAAGCTATGGTTTTTCCAGTTGTCATGTATGAATGTGACAGTTAGTTACAAAGGAAGCCGAGCACCAAAGAATTGATGCTTTTGAACTGTGGTGTTACAGAACACTCTTGAGAGTCCCTTGGACAGCAAAGAGATTCAACCAGTCCATCCTAAAGGAAATCAGTCCTGAATATTTATTGGAAGGACTCATGCTGAAGCTGAAACTGCAATACTTTGCCCACCTGATGTGAAGAACTAACTCATTGGAAAAGATCCTGATGCTGGGAAAGATTGAAGGCGGTGGGAGAAGGGGACCAAAGAGGATGAAATGGTTGGATGGCATCACCGACTCAATGGACATGAGTTTGAGCAAACTCCAGCAGTTGGTGATGGACAGGGAGGCCTGGTGTGCTGCAGTCCATAGGGTCGCAAAGAGTCAGACACAATTGAATGACTGAATTGAACTGAGTGTCGTGATCTTCAATTTTACCTATAAAAAATTATTAACTCACATGGAAACTATCCCAAAAGAAAATCCCTACTATTAACTGAAATACTCTCTGCTGAGGTTTAAAAAGAAAAAAAAAGATGCAGCAAAAAAATCAAAACCTTCATACACTTTTTAATAACAATAAAACAAATCAATAGCAGCCTTCTGATGACACCTGGTGGCCATTTCTCAGAGGAACTATTTTCAGCATTTTTAAAAAAGTGTTCCAGAAACTAGTAGAGAAACATGACCGGTTATTGGACCACTTCATACGCTCGCTTTACCGTGGGCAGCACGCATGAAGTTTTCCCCTTCGGTTCCACTTTCACTGGCCGCACCCTGACCGGTTCTCGCCATCCGCCCCTCTCCCAGGGTGGTCTGGCCCACACTCGTGCAAGCTCCCCACTAGCAGGGTGAGGCTGCCCCCAAGAGAAGGCCGCACTCTGTGCCCACCCGGGCCATCCCACCCCATCCTTCCTGGACTGACCCAAGGGCCGCCGTGAGGTTGCCACGCACGGGCAGAAGGCCAGAGGCGCAGGCACGGTGGGGACGCGCGTGGCAGGCAGGCACTCACAGAAGCTCCCCCGAGTCTCCCCCCCTGTCTTCAGGCCTGGAAGGACAAGGCAGGGCCCGTAAAGCGGCCCACAAGCCTGCCCCACATGCAACGGTGATGGCTGAGGAGAGAACAAAGGGAAATCAGTGGACTACTCAGATCTCTTCCTGAACCTACCATTGTCTACTGCACTTTTTACTGAAAATACATCTCTTACCACTAGACTATCACTAACTTAATACAGTACCACCACGTCCAGGTGTTGTCTGTTAACGAGAAACTCAGAAGCATTAGTTGCCATTCATCAGTTTCTGAGACCACAAAATAAACTATCTGATGCTAACAAAAATATCACTTTCTATGAAAATGCTTACAAGTTGAATAACATCTTCCATGAGAAAAGAGTATAACTTACACCCTAAAAACCATGTACTACACAACACTGGAGGCAATTTACCACAAATGGGTGTGTAATATAGTTGTGGTTTATTCACAATTGGACCAGAACATGAACGCCTGGGTCCGACGATAACACCCACCTCCTCACTGTCCAACAACTGGCTGCAAGGATTTCCTCAGTTATGTTCATACATTTGTACCTGTCCCCAATCAGATAAATTCATGTGGTGTTTTAAAATGAGTGCACAAAATCCTCTGACACTCCTTAAAGGGTGGAGCTAAACCCCTCCCGTTCGTGTGGCCTGGCCTTGCTGACCTGCTGGGAAGGGACAGAGCGGAGTGGAAGTGAGGGTGTTCACCTCCTAGGAGGCCCCATGCCTGCAGCTTGCTCCCTCCTTGCCCTCCGTCTGGGGGAGCGGGAGCCCTGCTGAGCGTACACCCTGCAGCCTAAGCTGGGGACGCTTGGGGGTGGGGGGTGGAGAGGAACTGAAGTCTCCTACCCAGAGCCAGAAGGAGCAACTGCTGACAGCAAGCAAGTGAGCTGTCCGTCCGAAGAGGCTCCTGCAGCCCCAGGTGAGCCTTCAGATGACTGACTGCAGAAGCAGAAGCCCCCAGGTGAGCCCACTCCAAAACCCCTGACAGACAGACACTCACTTTAAGCCCCAAGATTTTGACGTAATTTGCTTCAGGGCACTAGACTACTGGGAAATCCCATGGACAGAGGAGCCTGGCAGGCTACAGTCCCCACAGCATCGCAAAAAAGTCGGACACGACTTAGCAACTAAACTAGTATAATGCCCGTTCTCTCTCTCCCACCTTGTCAAGAATAGACACAGCTCAAGTGCACCACCTCCTGTGTATATATTTTATACATAATTTCCTTTTCTCTATGCTCCAACCTTTAACAGGAATCTTCTGTATTAAACATGAGAGTATTAAGCTACTACACAGGAGGAGGTCAACAAATGTTAAGAGAATTACACTCTGAAATGCATATCAAGACCAAAATTCCTGTCAAACATGTGTAAGAAGATTTTAGAACTTAAGACAGTGACATTTACATTCATGCCTCTCCCACTACCAAAATCAGGTCATTGATCATTACAATGAAAAAGCAGTGTAATAAAATCAAGAGTTACTAAAGAGATGAGGTAGAGAGAGTTTTACATTTAATTTGTATAGAATAAAAGAAAAGTTAAAGTTCCTGAAAGACCTGCTCGTGTTAGATGACGGTTTTCATTCTCAGAGGCCCCTAGAACTATTTGTACCACAGACCTGCCTGAGCTAACGGTAACCAGGAGCTCCTTGCAAGCTGGGCTCAGGATGATAGCAGCCCACTATCTAACATTCCCTCAACCTGCTGAGGTGGCCCATATAGTAAACACATGGAGAGCCACAGGTCATTGAGGCTAGACATGTCACAATCCTTCTGGGCCCAGAGACAGGTAACTCCCTCACCTCCCACTAGCAGGATGCATCCGAGCTCAGGAGTTGCCGGAGTCTCTGATCACAAGACCTGTGCCTGATTAAGCTTCGCCTCCAAAGCATCTCACACGCATGTCAAGCTTAATCCTAAAGAGAACCTTCCCAGGAGGTCCAAAGACACTGAAGACAGGCAGGCTCGAACTATGTGCTCCTGAGCCCAAAGGTCAGCGTAGGGTAAAATATCAGATGGAGAAAAAAGTTCTCACTCAAGTCAGAAAAGAATATTGTTTCTCTTCCAGAGTGAAAGTGAAAGTGTTAGTCGCTCAATTGTGTCTGACTCTTCGTGACCCCGCGGACTATAGCCCTGCAGCCCCTCTGTCCAAAGGATTCTCCAGGCATGAATACTGGAATGGGTGGCCATTCCCTTCTCCAGGGGGTCTTCGCGACCCAGGGATTGAACCTGGGTCTCCCGCACTGCAGGTAGATTCTGTACCATCTGAGCCACCAGGGAAGCATGGTCTGTTTCAAACATCTGATTCTGTGTGGAAAGTAAAAAACAATATTTCTTAAGTTTTGATTGCATAAACAATCACTAAAAAGTCATACCAAGAGGGAGAATAAGTAGATCATCATCCCTTTCATTAGCAAAGACAGGCACCTTTCCAACACTGCTCATGAAGATGTATTAATACCAACAAAAAACAAATCACAGGACAAAAATAAACTATAAAATTAGCTCAGCCTTTCTACCTGGCTATTTCTTTTTTTAAAATCTTTCTACACTTCAAGTACTATTTTCCAAATACATTAATTGATCTAGTAATAAAGTTAATTTTATGACTATCTTATATCAACCATCTCTAACCAATGTACCTTTTGTTGCATGAAAGATTTTATCTGGAAAGTTAAAATTTAACATATCTCTTATAAATCTTTCACTAGTATTTCTAATTGTTTTGATTTTTTAAGACAGGAAATTCTTATTGGAATAGAAAAACAGTAAAGAGAATGAAGATTCTATGAGTAAGTAGAAAATGAAACAATTCAATGCCATTAAAAGCAGACACATAGAATCATTTGTATCCCATGCCATTTGAAAAGGTTGTTTTATTATCAATGTAACTAATCACAATGAAACCATCTCTTACAACTAAAGACATTATAATGAATTTTCTTTACAGCTACAGAGAAATGGGATTTGCTGTTTCACATCAAATAGAACAGGCTGTATAAATTCTTCTTCCTATTTATTGTAAAATATAATTTCATCTATAAAATCAGTCATGAAATATTAAAACTGAAACAACAGAATTTATATCCTTTACTTAATTTAGTTTAAACGGTCTATTCACTAAAAAGGAGGGAGTGGGTACATGTGACAGAGCCCCTACTTCCTCATTAAGTGTTTCCATTAGACCCTTTATTTTCCAGAATTTATAATGCAGCCATAAAGAAAAGCATTCTATAATAAAAGTTAGTACACTTTACTAAATTTTCCTTTCATCTTATTCAAAAGGCAAAAGGATAAAGCACATAGCATACGAATGCTGAGGAAGGGAAGACAAGTAGGAGGAAAAAATTAAAGAAACACAATAGACTGACACTGAAAATGTACAATTGCAGTAAAAAAAAAAAAGAAAAGAAAAAACAAGTGAGGTGGCCCAAGTATTTCAACAACACACTGCAGGACACATGGCGAATATTTAACTTTTCTGAGCCCTAGTTTCCTCATTCCATGTAAGATTTCTACATTCCATGAGAAAATCTCTCACTGACAGTAAAAAACTGGTGACCACTCAACAAGAAGAAAAAGAATGAAACTGTTTTTCATTCCAGCAGGAAAAATATGACGAGAAAGGCTACTTCCAAAACACAAATATGGAAGAAAACTAATTTTAAAAACAGCTAAAACACATTCTACACTGATCTTGCTTAGAGTCATCAAGGTCCACTGAGAAGAGATGAATACAGTGACTAATCAAAGAACTGCCAGGGAAAAAAAGACAAAAACTACTAATTTTGGAAGAAATCTGGAAAACATTAATTCCAACTGTCAATAAGCTAACACATGATATAAAATTATCATGCCTCCCAATAGCTGGAATATAAATTATTAGGTACCAAAGACCTGAGTGTTAAGAAAGTATATTTAGAAAAGAGAAAATGTCAGTATTAAATTTTAAAAATGGATATAATTCTAATCAAGGCTATTTATCTAATAAGGTTAATAGTTTCCCACACACTCACACTGGATAGTGAAATTACAGGTAATTTTTCCTTCTTCTTCCTGGCTTTTTTCTATATGCTTTCCTACATATATTACTTTGGGAGGAAGACTATGGGGGAAGCTTTAAAAAAGTCCCTACACATGGTTAAATAATGGAAAATGATGATTCCTCTCAAGAAAGGAAGAGCAAGCCCTCAGGTAGAAATACGTTTATGATTGTGGTTCTTGGACTAAACTGAGAATCAAAATACCACAAATAAAAAAGGAAGGTTAGGGGGTGACTTGCAAAAACCAAAGATGTTTGGGGTCTAATCTTAGTCAAACACCCAGGGATACCAAGAAATCTCCCTGTGGCCACTGGGCTGCCCACTAAACTCAGAGAGGAGGTGGCGGCCCGGTAACAACCAGCACAGCCGGCACCCACGTCTTGGCTCCCGTTCCATCCCCACTGAACAGACCCTGGGCTCCTGAGGGTTGGTGGGGTCCAGGCCTGAGGCACCGTAGGTACACCATAATTAAGTACCGTTAAATGTAGGAATGAAGAAGTCCATGTTGATGACTGGAGACAGAGGCAAGCAGACAGACAAACAGATGGACCGAGAGGGCAAAGGCATGGCTCTGTTTAGAGCAATGCTGAGGACCAGCTGGTAAACGTGGACCGAGTGCAAGGGACAGAAAATCATTTGACAAAAACTGTATCAGGCAAGATGGATGCCAAGTCCAGGGGGGTAATTTTGATATGCAGAATATCTGAGTGGCATTAAACCATCTCCCTACACTGCTTATTTGCTGCAAGGGAAGATGACAAATTGAGTAACTGCACAGTGGCTATACCAGCTACATCTTGCAGGGGAGATCAAAAGTAACCTCCGCGGTGAAGGTGGACATGGGCTGCCTGCAGACAAGCACCCTGAGAAGGACAGGACGCCTGTGCTCACTGCAGCTGAAAACTTGGCAAACCTGAAGCTAACCGAGGCGAGACAGCGGACAACACAGAGCGAGGAATGCTTTATTCGAAAATGAAAAAAACAAGTGGGGAGGACTGCATTCTTCACAAATGTCAGTGTCATCACAGACAAAGACAGACTGTGGAAACGTTCCAGATTACAGGAGGCTGCGGAGACATGTGGCAACCCACTCCAGTATTCTTGCCTGGAAAATTCCATGGACAGAAAAGCCTGGCAGGCTACAGTCCATGGGCTCAGACATGACTGAGCACACACACACACACACACACACACACACACACAGACATGACAACGAAATGTGATATGTGTTCTCAGACTGGATCCTCCAGTGGCAGGAAAACGCATCATTAAGGGCATCCTGGGTCGGCTGACCAAAAGTACGGGCTGCACAGAGAGCTGGTAAGATATTCTTTCCAGGTACATCTGGGAAGATGTTTCTGGAAGAGACAATCATTTGAATAGCAGACTGAATAAAGATCTTCCCTCACCAGTGTGGGTTGGCAGTGCCCAACCACTGAGGGCTGGGATAGGAGAGAACGATGGAGAAGTGGACAGAGGGTAAATCTGTTTTTTCTCCTTGAGTTAGGACATCCACCTCTCCTCTGACATCAGCGCTCATGGTTTTTGAGCCATCAAACTCAGACTGAATTGTCACCAGCTTTCCTGTTTCTCCATGCTACAGAGAGATTATGGCACTTCCAAGCCATAATCCACACTAACCAATGCCTACAAAAAAAAAAAAATACCCTCTGATATGTATCTGTATACATTCTATCAGGCTTCTGAGGTGGCGCTGGTGGTAAAGAACCCACCTGCCAATGCAGGAGATGTAAGAGATGTGGGTTCGATCCCTGGGTCAGGAAGATCCCCTGGAGAAGGGCAAGGCAACCCACTCCATTATTTCTGCCTGGGGAATTCTATGGTCAGAGGACCCTGGTGGGCCAAAGTCCATGGGGTCACAAAGGGTCGGACACAACTGAAAGTGACTTAGCACACAGCATGCATACATCCTATTGGTTCTCTTTCTCTAGAAAACCCTGACTGATATAGGTTTTGGTACAGAGAATGGTTCTAGACGAATAGGATTTTCCCTTAAATTGGAACCGAGGTTTCTGGAACTGACTTTTTTTTTTCTCATTTATTTTTATTAGCTGGAGGCTAATTACTTTACAATATTTTGCCATACACTGACATGAATCAGCCATGGATTTACATGTGTTCCCCATCCTGAACCCCCCTCCCACCTCCCTCCCCATCCCATCCTTCCGGGTCATCCCAGTGCACCAGCCCCGAGCACTTGCCTCATGCATCTAGCCTGGACTGGCGATCTGTTTCACACTTGATAATATACATGTTTCGATGCTGTTTTCTCAGATTATCCCACCCTCGCCTTCTCCCACAGAGTCCAAAAGTCTGTTCTATACATCTGTGTCTCATTTTCTGTCTTGCATATAGGGTTATTGTTACCATCTTTCTAAATTCCATATATATGCGTTAGTATACTGTATTGGTGTTTATCTTTTTGGCTTACTACACTCTGTATAATGGGCTCCAGTTTCATCCATCTCATTAGAACTGATTCAAATGAATTCTTTTTAATGGCTGAGTAATATTCCATGGTGTATATGTACCACAGCTTCCTCATCCATTCGTCTGCTGATGGGCATCTAGGTTGCTTCCATGTCCTGGCTATTATAAACAGTGCTGCGATGAACATTGGGGTGCACGTGTCTCTTTCAGATCTGGTTTCCTCGGTGTGTATGCCCAGAAGTGGGATTGCTGGGTCATATGGCAGTTCTATTTCCAGTTTTTTAAGAAATCTCCACACTGTTCTCCATAGTGGCTGTACTAGTTTGCATTCCCACCAACAGTGTAAG